TCGTCCTCGTCCTCGTCCTCGTGCTGATGCTGTTGCTTGCGTGCTCTTTGCTACGACTTCAAAGATTTCTCTTATCTCATCCATCGTTCCCGAACACTATATTGTCCCACTGACACGATGTACGGGGTACAGAGCGCAGCTCACAACAGTTTGTCACCAGTTCAGCAGTTTGGGTTCCAAAGACCACAAATCTATGGCTCGAAACGCTCCCGGGGTCCCACTTTTCTCTGGAGCTCAAAGGGGGTCGCCCTTATCCTTGCTCCGCTACCGTGCCAATCTATTCCTGTATAGAAAGGGGTGCGCAGTGGTGAGAAAGTAACAGTGGTACTGTACAATCACACCTATGAGCTATACTGCAAATTCTACACAGTTTACAGTATATATGTACTGAGTGTAATTTTTGCAAACAACTGCCAGCACCATCTTCGGGGCGAGCAGTTAAAACGCACACTGCTATCACATCATCTCTCGAGTAGGTATATGTTTACACACGTCAAGTTAGCCAAGTGTCATCCCAAACTGGTGATTCTTGTCTTGAAAGATTGGCGACGTTTGATACCTAGCAAGCACGCTGGGCTTTGTCGCGAATCAAATTGTTCACTGACTCAGCTTCAAACAGAAGCCAAGACTGAGGCGAAAACGTTGACAGAAAGTCTGACAATGCTGGGGCAGCCTAGCAAATGCTGGCGTGCTAAAGAAAGAGTCACACCGGAACCCAGAAATGGCGCAGTACCGAGGAGTACTCGTCAGCCTTGAAATCAATTGGTCGATCTGCCTTGTGGGTTTCCTTGGCAAAGCTCCTGTGCTGTAATGTTGAAGCATAGGGAACAAAAACGTGAATGTCGCAGCTCACTTCGCTGAGATTTGCTAAGCATGGCGCCCAGCCGCACCTTGGACTTGGACAGTGAAAACCACGGAACTGTGGAACAACCTCTTGTATACACTCGCTATAGTCTTCACGAACATGTTGCATGTCCAAAACTTCCATCTGTAAAACTATAATATAGCTTTTGGAACTTCTCCACTCAGCTTTAGGCGGCTTTCGAACCACAAGCCGGTCTGAAAGATCCAAAAGAATGGCTGGTCCGGCGGGTCGGTCTAGCCCTGCCTGTCTGTCCAAAACTAGCTGTTGAAGAACAACACATTAAATGAACGTGAGCGCGAAGTGCACGTTTGTTTAGACGGATCATCAGGAACATACCAGCACTTCGGGCCGTTAATGCTTATGGCTTATGGCTCCTCACACATCCATCCAACCATCCGTCCATCCATGCTTTTTTGAATAGAAACACGATTTAACGCACACACACACACATATATATATATATGCAATTATATACAGTACTGTGTGTTTTTCCCTTTGTTAACTATCTGTTCAGAAGACTCTCCTCCTCCCGCCTCTCGCAAGGGAGGCTGCATTGGCATGGACTGGTCAACAACCTTGCAGGGTGCGCGCGTGCGCGCGTCTGCCACAGCACCGTTGAAACCTTTTGAGTCCATATGCTCAACAGCACGATTGCACCTGTCCGATGCGCAACAGCCTGGTCTTGATACACCTCACGTACAACGTGCAGCTGCAAAAGTCAAAAGTTCTCATGCTTCGCTGGTGCTTGCGAGCCGGGGCACTGAAGGATCTGTAACTGTATCAGTACAGCAGCAATAGGAGCAAACTTGTTTCTGTAATTTTGCTTGTGCGCTCAAGCCCTTGTAGGGCCGCAGTGCAAACGATTTTGGTTGCATCAATCTGATAGTAGATAGCGCAACGATTTGTTTTATGAGCTGTAGGAAGTGGATGGTAAAACGCAGGTACGCAGTGGAGCGTCCCCCACTGTATCAGCGCCAACTGATACCCACTTCGTTCGACAGGCAGTATCAGCGGCGTCCCGTCCCCCTGCCAAAAACATGAAAGATTCCCTGTGACTCCAAGGGCGCCTCCCGCAAAGGAGGCAACCGTAAAGCTAAGATGTGCGTGTGCGCGCGTGCAAAACAGACGAAAGGATGAAAACATGAAAGGAGGACAAGACAGACCGAGTGCGTGTGTGGCCACGGAAAGAAACCGAACGACCAGGGACAACCGATGAACCAAGCCTCCTTATGACAGCCTGGACGACCTCAAACCTGGGTTTCAAGTTTCAAGTATAAGTGCGCGTGGCCGATGTGTGCGCAAGAGAGAAAAGGGTATGAGGCGCCAAGACATGAAGACAGAAAGTTAGACATGAACCGAAAAAGGAAAAAGAGTGTATGCAGGGGGAAAGGATGAAAGTGGAACTACATGGAAGGGCCGGAAAACAACGAAGCCGAACCTCATCAAGAGAACCTAGGCAAACCTAGCCTGGTTTGGTATGTGCACGCTGTATGTGCACTTAGGTCGCGACAGGCCCCGCTCTGGTGGTCTTGAACAAGCTTGGGTCGCTGCGACCACCTCATGGAAATATGCCCACTGCTGTCCGCTGCGGACACCTCTTGGCGTGCCTGGAGGCTGCCTACTCGGTTTCAATAGTCCGTCAGTCTTAGCGAAACTTTGGCGCAAGCCTACTCCGTCCGCTGGACACCTCCGTTTCCAGGCGAAGGAAACATAGACAAACCCTTGCTTAGCAAGGCCACGCGGGCACTCCTCGGGCTCACCCATGTTACGTACAGAAATTGAACGCCACATGCCACACGCCCACCTAGGTATGAAAGCCTAAGAGTGCCAGGGATGAGGAACATGAAAACTTCTAAGATTCATTGCCTCCAAATTTGACACAGTCTTAAAACGGAACAAGGCTGAAAGCCACGCAGTGCGTGACTGCCGAGTGCAGGATCTTGTTCTAGTAAAAACCCAGTAGGAAGTGAATGGTGAAACGCAGGTACGCAGTGGAGCGTCCCCCACTGTATCAGCACCAACTGATACCCCCTTCGTTGGACGGGCAGTATCAGCGGTGTCCCGTCCCCCTGCTGAAAATTTAAAGATTCCCTGTGACACACGGAAACAAAGAATCATATATACAGTTCTATAATCCAGTGACTTGGAAGCTGGCGATTCCAGTTTGTTGTCATGGAACGAGGCCGTGTTGAATGCCCAGGCAAATGCACGGACCTAGCGCAACTCACTCGGGAAGCGAGGCGCTTCCAGCTCGTTGTGCGTTCCTTTGTGCCTCGAGCTCAGCTCTCTCCGTTTCCTTCCCGGACATCTGCAGCAATCGTTGCAGCCTAAAGAAGAAACAAAGAAGTTTGCAATGGTGAAACAAACCACTAGAGCGCAGCCCAATAGGCCTGTTCGAAAGGGCAATGAAGATAGTCGCCTCCGCACGCTGAGATGCAGCAAAGGCCCAGCAGGTGTTGGATGCCTTGACTTGCGACTGCTGGCAAACGGCGTATCAAAGAAACTTAGCTAAGCCAGTCGACTTCTTGGAGAGCAAATTCGCCGACACGTTTCAACACCTCCCATCCGACAATCCAACAGGTCCAGCGTTTTTTTAAAACTAAGGCGAAAGCTGCGCAAAACTAGGACGAAAGGACAAACATCGTTTGGGGCACACCAAATTCAGCTGCAACTGCCTGACTGGGTGCATGTTACGTGCGTAAAAACATCCTGTATGATTATTGAAACGTGATCAAAAGTGTGTAAACATGTGAGGCTGCCTGCTCCCCAAGCTTACCGGCAAATGGGGCAGAGAGCATGGTTGCTGACGAGAACGCCCAAGACATGTTTGATAGTCCCTGGGCCTCAAAACCCACTTTGCAACCACGTTTGTACAGAAACCGCACGAGGATGCAAAGAAACGAGTAGGTTGAGATGCCTAAGCACCTGGCACTGAACTCTCTTATTCGGTTCTGTCCTGCTTGTTCAAGAAGTGGAAATGCGCGCATCACCAGAGGCCTAAACGCAACTGACTGCAGGACCCCACTTGCTTGATCTTGAAACACAAACTCTTCTGGGATGAAACAAAATGTTTACACCATCGGCGTGACTTGTAAGACTTGTCTCGTTCTGTGCTATTCCCCAATGGTTAACCTGAATCATCCAGAATGTATCTATAGTTCTGGTCAAAGAAAGCAAAATTTATCGTAGTCGTTCGGCGCTGCGTTCTGCGCGCAACTGATAATGGAGTGACAAAAAAGTTTCGGTCGTGTCCATTTCTACGGCTGTGAAGCAAACAAAAGCCTCGCTGGTTCGATTTCCAATATAGATTTAAGCTGAACCCCAGGCCAAAGCATTGAGAAATACAACACCGCCACCAAAAATGTGTACAAGTACAAGTACAAATTAACAAACATTGTGCGAAAGCGCGCAGCCGGTAGCGAGCACCGTTTTTTATCGCAACGATGAACGAAAAGTAACATGCATGTGCAACATGAAAAACATCTGTCTGGTGGCTTCTCGGTTTGTATGGCTTGTGCTGTCATCCTTTGCTGGTGCCATGCTATGTGTTGCTCATCCGCGTTGGCAGGCCAGAGTCGTGCTGAGGTTGACTGCTGTGTATGCTTCCACCTTCAGGCGCTTCAGACTGGCTTGATTGCAATGCAAAATTATAAGACCGGAAAACCCCACTTGAGAGGAGGGAGACACGAAAGGTAGGACAGCGGGAAGAGAAGAGAACGCGAGAGGCAGGAACAAAAATGCAATGTTCGACATGGTGATTTATCCCCTCGGAGGCGACCTTTCGTAAATATATGTTCATATGCACTCTAAATGTTCAAACATATGCTCTCGAAATGTTCAAAAAGGTTCTTCGGAAAACAAACTTGCCCCATGGCTCAGATCATCGGTGAGCATTGAATCGGAACATCATAGGATTTGTCCTGAAACCATAAGAGGCTCACGAAGACGCTCCCCAGGAGAGAATTGACGTGCTTCACAAAACAAACTCTAGGTATGT